GGCTGGGGCTCAGAAGAGCCCACAGTCCTTGAGGTTCTCCTTGATGATGATGTCGGTGACGGCGTCGAAGACGAACTTGACGTTCTCGGTATCAGTGGCGCAGGTCATGTGGGAGTAGATCTCCTTCACATCCCGCCGCATGTTCAGCTCCAGGAACTGCAGCTTGATGTAGTTGCCCGCGTCATCGTAGGTGTTGGGACCTGGTGGCACGGCAGTGAGTGGGGTCCTCTCCTGGGATGGATCCCCGCCCCCCCATGGGTCTTGGCCCAGCGTTGCCCAGCATCACCCAGCACTCCCTGGCGTGGGCAGACCTTGCTTGGTCGATGAGCAAAGCTTGAGCAGCATCGCTTGCATGGGTTGCTGAGGACACCTGGTGGGTGGCTGCTGCAGGGTGCTGGCACCCAACCCTTCGCGGCCACCCCACCACCACCCGCCTGCACCCGGTGGGAGAGCTGCTGCCGCCCTCACCGTCATAGTCGGGGAAGCAGATGCTGAGATGGGCCTTCTTGATCTTCTCCAGGAAGACGTCCTTCTTGTTGAGGAAGAGGACGATGGACGTGGTGGCGAAGTAGCGGTGGTTGCAGATGCTGTTGAAGAGGTGCAGGCTCTCGTGCATGCGGTTCTGCGGAGGGACACAGCCCCGTCAGCCCCACGGTGACGCCCCCGTCATGATGGGGAGGAAGCCAGGGGGAGGTTGTGTGCCCTGGGAGCCTTCCTCACCACTTCGTCGTCCTCCACCAGGACCATGTCATAGGCGCTGAGGGCTGCGATGAAGATGATGCAGGTCACCCCCTCGAAGCAGTGGATCCACTTCTTCCTCTCAGAGCGCTGGCCGCCCACGTCGAACATCCTGGGCAGGACAAGGTAGGGGGGGTCAGCACCCCCACCCCCTGCCCAACCCCTGGCACCAGCCCTCGCCGGGGTGACGGCCCCCACCTGAAGTTGAGGTCTTTGAAGGAGAACTGGGTCTCAATGATGCCGGTGGTCTTGACACGGGAGCGCAGCACGTCCTGCTCCGTGGGGACGTAGCCGGGAGTCACCAGGCGCTCCAGGTCTGACAGGTAGCTGGCCGGGCACACGATGGGCATGAGACAGGGGTCAGCACCCCCAGACCCCCACCCCCCTTCT